AACAAAATAAAAATACAATCTAATTGGAATTATTTTCTTGACATGTATAGAAAATAATCTGATGAGAGGTAAGTATTATCTAAATAATACCTAAGGAAGTAAACAAAGTTCAACTTTTGTAACCGTATTTATGTCAGAACTAGGTACAGCAGTCAGTTCAACCTCATATTTTACTTATCAATTAAACTTCCCCAGTCATGCAGTCCATAAACAATAGACTAAGAATCAGTAATAATAGCAAACTTATTATGCCAATATCCCTGATAGAAATAGAAGGGATTGACATAATAAATTAAACATTGATAAATGTCCGAGTAAGCTGGTCTACCTGAGAGAGATTACTGGTACCCAGCTACAGCAAGGGGTCAGCAGTTATCTCTGTTGCAAGTCACCAAGGTGTACAGACCTGTGTTTCATGAAATAGTACTAGTCTAAACTAGAAGGAGACCTCTCAATTTCCTGTGAAGAAATGCTATGATGAAGTTTGAAATGAAGAGAGAAGACTTGGCAAATCTATCAGCAAATATCTGGGTTAGGATCCCAGGAATTGAAAGACTATCCGGAAGCATACAATCACAGAATGGAACTAACAAGTTGGGTGACAACCCTTAAAGAGGGTACCTTACAGAAGTATTTCCCCACCATCTGGTCTTGTTTAAAAGCAAAATGGGTCCTCCTGGACTACTGGGTCTCAGGTCATGGTAGATTCCCTACCAAACTCCAGAAACATGGCCATCACATTGAACCCCTACGCTCCATTTGTGTATACAGTGCTTTATCTTCTAACCGAAAGAGATTTTCTATATCTAATAATATTAGACAACTACCCGTATTACAAACACAAATGATGAAATTGCTGATTAACGAGATATCACTATAGTAGAGAATATTCAATTTTATGTTAACTATAAGGGATAACATAGGTATTTTATGTGACATGCTAGCATTGTCAAACCTGTTTAGCCGAAAGCCCTGATGGAATGTTATGTATAAATTAATGATTACAAGTTGTTCTGTGCCTCCTAGTTGGTGTAAGTCCCAGCATACTTTCCAAATAATAATAGAAATTTTCGAAAATACTTGATTCATATAGCCTATCACTAAAAAAAAAAAGGAAAATCAAGGGTGAATTAACTTTTTCACTTCTTTTGAGTATGAGTTGCTGACCTTTTTCAAGTATAATAGATTCTTCCTATTTGCTCCTTCTAATTATTGTTTATGAAATTTTAAAAATATGATGTGATTTTTATGGTGTGAATACAATATAATAAAAAAAACAAATTTTTTTCTGGAACAATGTTACCTATAAATAACATAACTTAACAGAGATCAAATAAAAATTATGTTTAGCTAATTTATATTTTTTAGTAAATCAAAATTGAAAACTATACACATACATAAATACATTATCAGGTAAAAAAAGATTCAATTACTATCAATATAATTATCTCTGTCAATGTAACAATTTTGAGAAAAATAAAAAAAATAAATAAATTATTTTACAAAATAAAAAACCTAATTATTAAAGAATTGTTCTTTTTTTTCAAAATATTATCACTATAAAGGTCCATATTCAGTTTTGCAAGTTTTGTCTCTATTCCTTTCGGTCTTCTAGATATATTCTTGATAGAAGATTCTTGGACTACCAATTAGTCTTTTACTTGAAGATTGAGCTTTTTATTTTCCTAGATTTTCAATTATCATTGTTACATCTTTCTGAAGTAATTATCGTAATATATCCATTAAAAAAAAAAAAATCTGGGCTGAAGCTCTTCCCCCCTCCCCCCCCGAAAAAAAACAATTAAATCTTGGATCCGTTAGTGTGTTTCTTTAAAATTCATATTTAACTATTATGTTCTTTAACCATCACAATACTCTTCTTACTGATCTACAAATTATATTATTTTTCCAAGTGTAATTGAAACTTAAGATCATGATAATGGCAATAACCATTTCCACTAATATTTTTTATTCTTATCTACTTTTTTTTCATTTTTAGGATTCATTTCATGGGAGTAAATCATCCAATCCAACTTTGTATAAGAATGTCTTATGTAGTTTTTATATCATCTTCTACCATCCACTAAGTCAATACTCTTACTTGAGCAACTCAGACCATCAAACAGTAGCTACGCAGCAACCAGAACACGTGTATATTTCTTTGGTGATAATTGAAATTTATTACTGGTCTAATGTTGATGTTTAAAATATCAATAGAGTGACATTGATCACTGATTTGGAAGAATGCTGAAGTTGATGAGTTATGTAGTGTTTTAATAAGGTTCTATCAACATTAACAGGAAAGAGAGCTCTAGTATTATTGTAAGTAATAATATATTCAGTATGCATCTGATATAAAGTGACAGTTTTTTCTTTATGTCAATAACTTTACATTTAGTGTAGTAATAGAAAAGAATAATGAACAGTTGCGTGAGATTTGTAATTGGTGCCCCGAGATACTACCATGTCTCTCACCACTACACTGAGTTAGAGTGGCTCTTCCCCTCCATTCGAAGACAATATTTCCTAGGTACATTCCCCTATCATATCATCAACAATCATCGTCCTTCCTACGCCTACAACCTTCTCCAATTCAAGTTCTCAGTCCACTCCCTCTCCACAAGATCTCGACCTTCCGACCTTTACATTCCTTCTCACAGATCTGCTTCGTTCCAAAACTCCTTTATTGCACGTTCTGTTAGTTTCTGGAATTCCCTTCCTATCAAAATTCGACATTCTTCATCCTTATCTACATTCAAAACCCTCCTATTCCAATTCCTGTCCCAAAAACAGTCAGGCACCAGCTAACCTTTTATGTAAAATTACATATTATCTATAAGACCATATTCACATATAGCTCATAACCTAAATACTTATTATAGATTCGACTTTCTTTTTTTTTTCTTTTTTTTTCAACAGAAACAGATTTTACTGTTAAGAAGAATATACATTTATTTTTTCTGTATTTTTTATTTTTTCTAAAAGGGTTTATTTATATTTTAACATTGTACATAGTTTTAAGTATCTTAGTATGGTTTCAAGAGTTTTTTATATAGATTTTTTTTTTTATTTTGTATATAGTATGTATAACCAATATTTTTTTCTTTTCTTTTTTTTAATAACCTATCTTTATCTTAATTTGTTATGTTTGTTTTTATCTGGCCAGATGTAAAATTTTAATTTCTGTACTTTTTTGTTATTCTGAAGGGACTTCGTCCCAGAATAAAATTATTTTTCTATTTCTATTTCTATTTCTAATATTGCTTGAGTTTTTTGATTTATTTTTAAATTAACATTATTTATTTTAATATACTTTTTTTGCCTTTTATGACTTTATTAAGTGTTTGCTCTACTTTATGCTGTTATCTGACCATCATTTCTTGGCTTTAAAGTATGCTATTTTAATAGTGGAAGTATTAAATTTGTATTGAAATTATTAATAATAAACAAATAAGAGTTCTTAAAATTTTTAGAATTTGTCTCTTCCATGACTCTTAGCCACTATTCTTTAAAAGTATCAATGAAGTTCCCAGACTGCTCTCCCAGTTATTTTAGTTTTTGCTAATCTAAACTTAACAATTTCCGTTCAAATTATTAAAAAATTGTCTCTCCCCACTGTTTCTCTATTTCTATTCTGTTAAATTTATGTCGTTTTCTCCTTAATTCCTCAAATATTAAAAATATCTGGAAGTATCAAGATTTATGTGGTGAATTAAAGCAGTTACATAGGCTGATAAATTTATATAGTTAGCAGAAAACTACAAACTTTAGTTTCTATCAGAGATTTAATTCCCAAAGTTAAAAAAATACATTAAGTGGTATTGTTGGGGAATAAGGAGCATTGTGTGGAAATGATGTATTTTGAGTAAATTGGCATATTAACCTTAAATCTTGGTCATTGGATAAAAGAACTGAAGGTGACTGGCACACCAAAGCTGAGAAGTAAAATAAAAAAATAGATGATATTATTAATTTTTTTCATTTAAAGTAGACCACTTTTGAATAATAATGTAATTTACAAAGATGGGGCATTAAAGAGAGATGTGTGCAGTTATAATGTAAAGTAAATATATACTTAAATTATTTAGTAGATAAAAAATTTTTTTATGAAATCTTTTTTTAAAAAACAATACATTTTTCTTTGACTTGATAGCCCGCAACCTAAAATATTTATATTTTTTTAAATATCAGCTATAATTAACAATGTTTATGCATGTTATTTGTTTCTATTTTCAAGTTTCTTTATAATTACCGTTAATATGTTTTTAATATTTAATTATATATAGCAGATTGTGACCAATATGTGTCGTTGAGATATAGTCTACCAATAAAATCAAGGAAGATAAAACCTCTGTTGAATAGTCTTCTCGTTTAGAATTATATCTGGAAAACCAGAAGGTTCAATTCAGAGTAACAAAAACAACAGTTTTAGATATTATGTACATCAACAGTGTTTCATTGATAAAAAGAAATATTACATTATTGTGTCCAAAAAATGTAGTTAAATCAAATTATAGTAAAATATGTATATGGAATATAAAACATTGGTTAAAACAAATGTCTTTATATGAAAAGAAAAATACCATAGTTGACTGCTGCATCTAGATTGAAGTATCACATTGCTTATACATGGGCAGTCTTTCCTCCGTTTTTAATGGAAAAAATGAAGTATAAAGAAAAGAGATGATGTTCAATCATTCGAGTTGGCCGAACATGCCAAATCACCATGAACTTCTTTTTATTATTTACACTTTAAGAAATTATATGATATAAGCCAGGATCATTTGGTTTTGTACAATTCTAATACAACAAAGAAATACAAGAAAATGCCAAATTGAGATATACCTTCTAATTTAACATATATAATCATTTAATTGATATTTATTAATTCATTACTTTTATAATTTTTATTACTCAGTTTGTTTTATTAAATGACTAATTTAAATGTTACCCTATCAACTTCATAGTATTTAAACGCTCTTAATATTCCAGTGTAAAACATGGTTACTCTGATGGATTCATCTACTACTGAAACATTATCATTAGCAGTTCACAGTGACGATGATGATGATGGATGTATGTCATCTCACAGCTCCGATTATGGTAATTCAACTGATTTAATGACTGCTGCAATGGGAGATGACGTTACTGCCCAACTCGCTGCTGCAGGTTGGCCAAAACAACATTTCCTTGGTGATTGTTCGCTTCTTTTTTTTAATTATTAAGTTTTTAAAAATAATTTTTATAGATGCTCTTGTTTGGTGACCACCTGCTGTTAGCTGCAATTTAAGTTTTTTATTTGATCCAATTTAATATTAACTACCATTAAGTAATACTTTTAAATATGATTTCTGATTAAATATGTTAAAATTTATTTTTGTAGTAGCAACAGGGTGGCGACCGGCCTGGAAAAATGGGGAAAGTTAGGGAATTTTCAAAACAGGGAAAAGTCAGGGAAAATTTAATACCTAAATATTTTTTTCAAACTGGAAATAAATATATTGTGGATACTGTTTAACCGTCGTGGTTACCTTAAAGGGGTAAACTTCTTCGTTATAAACAACCACGGTCGCTCTGTTCATCCACTTTTAACTGTCAATAACAACACTTGTCATTATATTGAAATCAAACAAGGATAATGAATAAAATTTAAGCAAAATTGACTTAAAACAGTGGTTTTTTTGAAAATAAAAACATACCAATACTATTTACTATTTGTGATATTTACATCTATGGACATATTTTTTTTTTATATAAACTAATGAACTTTTTAACAGTAATTTTTTCGATAGATAAACATCCATTAGAACATTTTTTGATCTTAGAATGTAGAGTCCGGTCGAACATCAACTTCTTAAAAAATTGTGTTTCATCGCATTGAATTTGTCAGCTCCATGATAATTCTCACAAACTGTCTGCTAAACTTAATTTCAATCGTTGGTTAACTATAAGAGAACCCTGGTAGCTTCAAAGCTATTTTTTTTTTTTTTTAACATTTTGTGTCGGGAGTAGATAGTCTGAGACACAGTCGGATCTATGGGGAGGGAGAGAGGGGGCTTCAGACCGAAAGCCTCCCTCACCCCATAGATCCCCCCAAAATGGTGAATTATAACCAAGTATTAAGAAAAACATTGTTTTAATGATATTTTTTTTACTTTTAGAATATTTGAAAATAATAATAAATACCAAAACGTTATATAATAGATAGAGAAAATAAAGCTCCTTAATAAAGACATTTTTTATTAATAAAATAAGATCTTTGGGAGTGTTGATAAACATTAATCGTGTATAGATTAATTTTTAATGAAATATTATTATTATTACAAATTAAGCTCAACAAAACGTTCTCAAAATGATTTTATATAGACTATGCATATCTAGGGGTACATGTTTAAAGATATATTCTATTCCTTAACACGTTCACGCCATATGTACCACCGGTGGTCCGCACTAGATTGTCTCATGGGGAGATGTGTACCACCGGTGGTACGCATTGGATTGTACTATTAGACGCTGAAAATTAATCACGCCCGCCAGATGAAGCACGGCATGAATTTCAGCGCCACCTCACAGCAAAACAAATAAAAATCGGTCCTGGCGTGAACGTGTTGAAGAATTGGTATTACAGCTTTAGGGATACAGCTTCCATCACAGAAGTAGCCAACAATAATCTCTCTATTATATAAAAAATGTTTTAGTTAATGTGTCATATTTTATTTTACATATGCAAAGCGGGACAGACCGTAACGAAGATACCACACTTCTTATTCCCCGAATTATTTCTCCGTTATTACGGTTACAAATTGGCAATTATATTGAGATGTAGAATATATATTTTTAAAGAAATTAAACTTATTATTATTATTAAACTTATTATCTATAAGTGCTCCGAGAGCCTGTGAGAAAAAAATTGATATTATTTGATGAAAGCTTTAAAAGGATTTTTTAAAATATTTTATAACATTTATAAAATTCGGATGGGGGCCGACAAGTCCTATGCTGCACAGTAATAAGAACCCTGGTCCCACAAGCACATAGATTCCTTTGCCTTCTGATCCTGGTGAAGATCTTTGCTTGATTTTCTCCAAATTCAAGAAGCAGGTCTCCAGCATACTGCTTCGCTCATGTGTCAATTCTTAGCTCGGCGAATAAAACCCTATTAAATGGGCAACCGCTGTGGAGCCGATGTATCTTTGTCACCAGCTTGAGCTGAACTCCCAATAAAAAATTATGACAAATATTTAAAAAAAAATAAGATGATAGAAGGATGAGATACGGGTAAGATTGACAAATCTGGTATTGATGTTATAAGTTATATAAAAGATATTGTAATGATAATATAAAAATACAAATAATAAAAATGTTTTCTAATTTCTAGTTCTAGTCTGATGAAAAGTGATCCTAAAACGTCATAAAAATAAAGAAAAAATTGTTAGGAGAGTAAAGCTCTTACTTAATTTTTATTTATTTACCTCAGATAAAAAGCATCTCCCTTAGGACTTATGACAAAATTATGTTTGGTTGGTTGTGTAGTAAAGGCATAGAATAGAACCTGTTGGTCATCAACGCCCTTAATTAAAATTATATATTATTATATATTTTGGTTATAAATATTAAGAATTGGATAAAATTTAAAAACAATGTAAAATGCACGTTAAGGTTAAAAGTTGTTTATTGTTATTTAAGTTTAGTTATTTAAAGTTCACACGTTAGGTAAAAAAGAAAAAGGAAAAGGGAAAAAAAAATATGGTAAGAGGAAAAAAAGCCACACCTCTTTTTTTCATCTTACCATTTTTTCCCCCCTTTTCCTTTTTCTTTTTTACCTAACGTGCGAACTTTAAATAACTAAAAAAAAAATAAAATAAAATGGTAAGAGGAAAAAATGAGGTGGGGGGGAGTGCTGCGTGAGAGGTTCAGATATTTTTTAAGACAAAATTATATTTGTTATTTAAAAGATTGATTTTATTTTTACTGAAATAATTTTTTAGTCAGTTTTCTTTCAGGTATAATAAATAAATTTAGTTACAAATTATAACCTTTTAATATTTGTGTCCTCAGTCATATTTTGTCAGGAAAAACTATCTTTAAATCGGGAAATGTCAGGAAATTTTACATTGACTGTCTGGTAGCCACCCTGAGTGAATAATGAAATATATTGATCACTTAAGCATTTTAATTGTTTAAAACATTACAGCTTACACCAGATTTTGGGCTACATTTTTTCTTTGCTTTTTTTCATTTTTTTTTCTTTATTTTTTTTTTTTGTATTCTCATTTGATTAGCAATTTCAAAATAGTTGCAAAATTCACTTAAAATCATTTTTACAAGCACCATCATGTAACTTAAAGTTTTTTTCAGTTGTTTTAACATATATAATAAAAGAATAATTAGAGAATTAGAAATATGTGATCACAAAAATTGAAATATAAATATAATTTTTTTTGTTCTTTCGGTTGGCTCTACAAACCATATATAGCATTTCCAAGTCAATTTCAACCTTTTCCAAATCAAATTCAACCTTTTCCAAGTCAAATTAAACCTTTTCCATTTCAAATTCAACCTTTTCCAAGTCAAATTCAACCTTTTCCATTTCAAATTCAACTTCGAATTTTTGTCAATTTTCGAAATGAAGGCCACTTACTATATTATCGAAGGCATAGCTTTTGAAAAATACAAAAAAAACTTTGATAACACGGTTGCATATCCATTTATTTTAACATTTTAGATTTTTCAGTGTGATATTTCTATGTCATATTCAATTATTCCAAGTCAAATTCAACCTTTTCCAAGTCAAATTCAACCTTTTCCAGATCAAATTAAACTTTTTCCAAGTCAAATTCAACCATTTCCATTTCAAATTAAACCTTTTCCAATTCAAATTCAACCGTTTTCATTTCAAATTAATGTTTTAATTTTTTGTAAATTTTATATATTTTTTTAAATAATGGCCATCCCCTCCCCCCCTCCAATATGAAAGTCTATTATTATGCTCTCCTAAGTAGAATTTTCACTTACGGATATCGATTTATTGTACCTATTCGGATTTATTAGGGACTAGTATTATGCTGTCCTGTACCTAGTTTTGAAAATAACCTCCATTTTAAGATTACGTGACTGCGTTTCGAATCATTTAAGTTTTTTTGACTTATTCGATATAAGGGTGTATTTTTATGTTTCCCGATCAGTAAATTTTGAAAATGACATCCATTTTATGTTTACGCCACTGTGTTTTTGACTTATTTAAGTTTTTAGAATTTATCCAATATAAAGGTCTACTTTTATGTTTCCGGAGCCGTAGATTTTGAAAACGACCTCCATTTTAAGATTAGGCCACCGCGTTTCGATTTACTTTGAGTTTTTCGGATTTTTTTCATATGAGGATGTATTCTTATGTTTCCGGAGCCGTAGATTTTGAAAACGACCTCCATTTTAAGATTAGGCCACCGCATTTCGATTTCTTTAAGTGTTTCGAATTTTTATCATAAAAGAGTGTATTCTTATGTTTCCGGAGTCGTAGATTTTGAAAATGACCTCCATTTTAAGATTACGCCACTGCGTTTCGGCTTATTCAAGTTTTTCGAATTTATCCAATTTAAAGGTCTACTTTTATGATGCCGGAGCCTTAGTTTTTAAAACGACTTACATTTTAAGATTAGGCCACTGTGTTTCGGTTTTTTAAGTGTTTTTGATTTTTCCTTCGAATAAAAAACAAAATACGAAGGATTCATTTATTTTTCAATAAAAAATAAAAATATCTAATCAAAATAAATAAAATATGTATTGTCTCATTTTTAATTTAATTTTAGTTATCTTTTTTAATGTTGTGGTCTCCTGTCACAAAATTATAAGATTTATCGAACAATTAGCTGAAAAATCTGAATACGGCAGGTTAAATTTATTACCAGTTGCTTTTCGGCTTTTTAGTTTGTATTCTGTGGTTAATTTAACTTTAGCTTCATAATATTTATTTATTTATTTATTCATACTCGAAAACATATTGATGAAACTTTGTATTGAAAGATCCAAAATGAAGCCTAATTAATCGAGATGCAGCGGCTTAATCATAAAATGGAGCTTAAATATTAGATAAATTTAAATATTAAAGATTAGAAAAATTTCAATACGTCTCCGATAACATATAAGTAGATCCTTATACCGAAAAAGTAAAA